CCCCCCCCCGCCAAGTCCCTGTCTCGAGTGTGCCAGGCCATCCGCATCCTCAGGGAGGCCTCCTATGAGCATCAAATGGACTGGTGCAATAAATCATAAGAGCCCCAGTTCCCCAGCTCCACATGGCCTGTCCCTTTAGGGAAACTGAGGCCTGGCTAGCAGCTGCCCAGCCTGTCTCATTGGTGATCTGGGCTCAGCCTGCAGAGGAAGCCAGGCAGCCCCACCCTCACCTGGAAAGCATCCTCTATCCCTGACTCACCAGGAGCTTGGCCCAGCTGGGACAGGAATTAGAGCTGAGGGTGGGGCTGGTCTGGGGCCCTACCACGGGAGGCTCACACCTCCTGCCTCCACCTAGCTATGCTTGGTCTCTCTCTGACCCACACAGATGGGAAGGTAAGGGGGCAGGGAATGTCTCCTGTTCTTCAAGAGCCCTAAGGAAGCATGCTTGCTCAGTCTCACCAGGGACAGCACAAGGAACAGGGGTGTGGGGAAAAGGAGAATCACCATCAAGAAACTTTTATTTGCTTGTGGTATAGAAAAAGGCCTGGGCTCCAATCCTAGTGCTCTGGATAACTTGATGTGTGTTCTTGGGTAAGTTACTGCCCCTCACAGGGTCTCAGTTTCCTCATCTCAAATATGAGGCCAAAATTCCTCACTGTCCACCCTCACAGGAAGTTTACGAGACTCAATGACATAGTGTGTGTAAGATAAGTGTTTGAAAAAAGTGGCAGGCACTGGCCAGGTAAAGGACACTCTGCCACAAGGAGCTACTGAGCACCACTGTGTGGCCAGCATGGCTTGGATACTGAGCTCACACCAGCACTAGTCACAGCACCCAGGCCAGGGCAAGTAAGAATAGGCAGTCACAAACCTGGGCTGTTGGAGACTGCCCCATACTTTCCTCTGCTCTCCCCCACAGATTTTTACTTCATACTCCCACAGCTACTCCCAAGGGGCTCCCAGGAACTCAACCCCCCACCAACAGGGTGAGGGTAGCTGATATCTTGGGCGGGGTGGGGGACCACCCAAGGACACTCAGTTATAGGAGTAAGGGACGGCTCACCCAACCCTGGTCAGGCTCCACCTCAGAGATATCAACCTGGCCTGAACCAGTCCTGGTTAAAGACCACCAAGCCAGGCTGAGGGCCCCACTCTGGGCAGTCACTCAAGTAGCAGAGGCCCCATCTGATCCAGGCACTTCCTTTGGTTAATGAGAAACCAAATAAACAGCCTCTGCCCCAGCTGGCTCCAGGAGCACCCCAGCCGGGCCCAGCCTTCCCTTTGCCCTACAGGTCCCGTGGCTCTCCTCCTCCTTGCTTCTCCATGTGCTTCCCAATTCCTCATAGCCCTGCCTGCTCCTTGGCTGCTTCTCTGAGGCTTATTGTTCTGGATCACTAACCAACTCCCCCCCCCCCCCCTTCCTTCCTCTTTCTCCTTTCCTCTAGTGCCTTGTTACCCATTTCTAGCTAGTGGGATCTCACATGGCCTCCACTTCTGACATCTGCCTTAGCCATCTCGACAGGGAATCCCCTCAGACTGGAGTGGGAAGGCCCCAGGCCCTGCCAGTATGCATCTCTGTTGCGGGACTGAGGCCAAACCCTCTTCAGGGCCCTTGCCACACTCCTGGACCACGAGCCTTCAGGGGAACTGAGTGCTCAGGGGTGCTCTAGCTCGAGGGCTTCAACTGCTAGCCAGAAGCTCCTAAGTATGCCATGGTGAGGGTTCTGGTGTGGCCCAGCTCTGGAGACAAGAGAGGAAGAATCTTCTGGCTACGAAGTGAACTGGGCAGCCTGAAACCTCAGTACCCAATGGGCCACAAGTGAGGCCCAGCTCTTAGGAAGTTATTTCTATCCACCTTTAGGTGTCTTGAGGCAGGGCAGGGCTGGGCCTGCCAGCAGGTTCCAGATGTAGCTCCAGCCAGGTGGTGGCAGTACTTGCAGACACACCCAGGTCCCCATGGGAACACCTCCTCCCCCATCAATTCTCTCTAGCTGAGCCTAACGACAGACTGGGCAGATGCTCACGGCCTATGCCACAGAGGTGACAGGATAGACAGGGAGAAATTGTCACAGGCTCCAGCAGAACAAGAGGGCAGAGGATCCTGCGGGCAGAAGAGGAAAGACACAGGACAATTGAAACATCTTGTTCCACTAGGAAAGCCACCCTCTTCTTATACCTGCCCAGATCTTCAGTGGTTTGGGCACAGGGAATCTCTCTGTCTCTCTCTGTCTCTCTGTCTCACACACACAGACAAACACACACACACTCACACACACACTCACATACTCACTCACACTTCATTCCACAACATCATGACACAATTTTATACCCAGTTCTCCATGTGGTTAATTTTTTTTTTTAGTTCTCATTTTTTCTAAGAAAAAAGCAACAAGAAAATAATTCAGAGTTTATACAAAACATCTTTACATTATTTTTTCCAAAAAGACTAGTATTTACACAAATGGCAACAGAAACAAAAACAAAAAACCCTTCCAGCTTCCACCTGGAAGGGGATGGCTGTTCCGCTCCCTCTCCCACCTGGCACTGGGGTGGGCAGCTGGCCAGGAGGCAGTGTGGAGGTGGATGGTGTAAGGCCCAGCTCCTTCCATGGCTACTCTGGGAGCACCTGCAAGGCGCACTCAAGTGGCAGTCTGTTAGCAGCCGTGCTGGCAAGGAGCCGGGGTCAAAGTGCACGGCATGCTGGCCCAGCCCTGGGCAGCCTCTTCCTCTTTCCAGGCCTCAGCCCAAGATTGGAGGGGCCAGTGGAAGCTGGGTTGAGGGGGGCACCCACTTGTGCTAGAGCCCAGAAAAGGAGCAGACCACCTGGCCTTATACCCGCTTAGGTCTCTGCCCTGGGCCTCTGTTTCCCCACCGGGCCAAAGGATGCCAAAGGTGAGGAGAGAACAGGGCGGGGAGGGGGAGGGGGAACTCCCAGATCTGCAGGGCAAATAGCCACCTGGGCACCTCACCTCCCTCCACCCCCATGAGGTCATCTGCCTGCAGCAGCTCTCCTGTTCCCCAGGCAACAGCCAATTAAGACGTTAATTACCGTGAGAGTGAGGGAGGCAGGAGATGCCCAAGAATCCCACAAGGAAGAGATTTTTTTTTTTTTTGGTGGAAGGGTGGCAGCCACTACCCCATTCCCAAGATCAGCTTTGTAGAAGGAGGGTCAGGAGGACAGAGTGAAACACTTTGCCCATTGGCACTCTCATCTTCCCTCATGGGCAAGAAGAGCTCTGGCCTGCCACCCCTCCCCAAAATACCAAGGAGTTTTTAAAAGAAATGCCATCCTATGCTTCCTGGCTGGCCACATCTTGCCCCAGTTCCCTTAAACTGAGCTGGGCCTGGCTCAGAAAGCCTAAGGAGGGACTGCATTTTCCATTTTTCCATTTTCTTTAAAAAACAGATGCAAATGAGTTGACAGCTAAAAAATGAACACAAAAACATTAAAAACAGTGATGATAGCGGACAAACAGTCCTGGGAAGGGGGAAAGGGGGTGGGGGGCAGGGCCAGGGGGGCATCTTCCTGCCTGCTGTCCATCAGCGTCCAACCCTGCCCTCCAAGAAGGGGTGCCCCTGCAGAGCCCAGAGGCCTGGCCAGAGGGGGAAGGCACAAGAGCATGGTGGCTGGGGGCAAAAGCACCCCCCTCCGAAGCCCAGGGGGCAGGGCAAAAGGGGGATTATAAAAGCCAAGAAACTACAAAACTAAATACAAAGGTGGGCACAGCTGGTAAGGGGAGGGAGTGTGGGGGAGAAAGGAGAGGTGCAGTCCTGGCTGACTGTCCCTCAGGGCCCGAGGCTGCACTGGGCTCTCAGACCTTGTAGTAGATGTTCGCTGGGCTCTGGGGTGGCATCTCCTGGACGATGTAGACGGGGTGCCCGTAGTCCCCACTCACCTTCTCATAGTGGGGGCAGTAGTTGTTCTCTGTAGTCCGTAAGGGGATGATGATGTCGCTGGGCTCGGTGCCCGCCGTGCCACTGCCCCCCTTGGGACTGGCCAGGGTACTGAGTGAGAGGGCGGGTGCCCGCTGTTGGGTGTGCTTGCGATGCCGCTTGCGCAGCTTTAGTAGCAGAACTGTCAGGAAGATGATGATGAGCAGGAAGATGACGCAACCAGCACCAACGGCCGCAAACAATGCCACCTTGGAGTTGAAGAAGCTGTCAGGGTCTCCACTGCCACCTCCACTCGCACCTGGGCCACTCTTCTCTTCCTGGTTCACAGTCTCTGAGGAAGGAGAAGGGAGGGGAGAAATGGTCAGCCAGGGGTCCCAGGGCCCTGTTCTGCCTCGCTTCAGAGACAGGGCCTGAAAAGGTAGCTAAGCAATGGGTTCTGCCCTTTGGGAGACACCTATACACTCACCATGCTTGCCATCAGAGTCACCCAGGGAGCCCCGACCACTGGGGGCCTGTGTGGCCATCTTGATAGTGTTATCTGCCTCCTTGCTCGGCCGGCTGGTGGTCAGCTGCTCAGGTGTCACAGCATTGGGGTCTGGGAGTGTGGAGAGCACAGGTTGATGGGGGACCCCACTAGCATACATGCCTCAATCATCTAGCATGGGCTCATTTAGCATGGGCCAACAATGGCCTGTATATCAGACCTCAGATACTCTAACCCCATTGCCCCTCCCCTACTCCCAAACACATCCATACCCAGACAGAGACATCTGTTATGACTGGGCACTCACCTTGCCCAACCTTCATGACGATCTTCATGGTGCGTGTACGGCACACACCTCCCTCCCGGTTTTCCAGTCCCTCCAAACTCCCATTGGATGTAGCTGTAGCAAGAGGCCAGAGAAGTCAGGGGGAAAGGAAGGTCTGCCCTCATTACCTAGAAATCCTAGTGCTGTCTTAGCCCATGAGAACAGAACTGGGAATTGGGGAGTGGCAAACAGTGAACCTTTCTACTTATCTCCCTCTCACTGGGAACAGAGTAGCTGGCCCAGCTCAGGCCACATCAGAAACTAGGCCTTCCCCCAAGGGTGCTGCTCCTTTAACATCACCAGGGCTTAGCCCTTCTTTCTCAGTATCTTCTCATTGTGTGATCTCACTCAGAGGCAAAACAGTCAGAACTGGAATCATGAGGGAGGCTTCTATACAGACTAGAAGGAATCCAGTCAGGTGAACTGGGTTAGAGTCCCAATCCTGCCCTTAACTCCATGAGTGATATCAGGGCAGGAAGCTCCTTCACTTCTTGGGGCCAGTTTCCCATGAAGAGAAAGTCCGGACAGCCAGCTGATCCCAAAGGGTTCTTCCAACGCTGTCACTCCCAAGATTATATCTTAGGTAGGCCAAAGAAATAAGAGAGAGCACCACAAAGTGGAGTCCTCTCCCAGCCAACTCCTAGAGCCAAGGTGAACTGGCAGCCATCCTCTTGGTGAATGTTAGGGCCAGAATTCCAAGGCCAGGCTGGAAGGAGAGCATGCCAGTCTTCAGAGGGAACCCAGATCAAGGTGGCCTGTGTGCTATCTCACTGTACTACTTAGAAAGCTCCTAGATAAGAGAGAACCATATGACGGGAAGAGACTCACAGGTAATGTAGTAATCATGGTGCTTCTTAAACTCCAGGCCCATGTAGTTGGGGCTGAACTCCTGGAACTTAATGGTGAAGCGGATTTCCTGCTCTGGCCTATTGCAGGTGACCAGCACGTTGGGGTCAAGCACAGTGCTGCAAGCAGCTGCCTGCTCAGGCCGCACCAGGTACAGCTTGTAGTACTCATAGGGCCGCCCTGCTTCTGCTCGGGGGCAGATGATGTCCAGCTTGTCTCCAATCTTTGGGTAGATCACCAGGCCCTTCCCACTCAGGAATCTGCCCAGAAGGGAAGAGATGGTCAGCCTCAGGGTCAGGGGTCCCAGACCATCTCCAGAATCAAGGGCACAAACAATGAGGGGCCAGGCTGAGCCTACTGGGTGGAGATGGCAAGAATAGGCATTCTGTCCTCCCTCCATCCTTAGGCTGGGGGTGCAGAGAGAGAATCACACTGCCATCAGGGTGTGGAAGGGGTGGCCCATGGGCAAGGCTGCCAGGCTTTGACTGCTTGGTAGGGTGGGGCACTGCGTAGCTGGGGGAGCCCTTTGTCCTAATGTGGCATTTCCACAGGGGGCTGATGTGGCCAATGGTGTGAGGCTTGGGCTGCCTGGAGGTGGCAGCCCTGTCCTCTTCCCGCCCCCATCACACACATTCCTTCAGAGCCACTGCTACCATCTCCCTACCACACATGCATGTGTGTGCACACAAACATGTTGTGCACATGCACGCGTACACATACACACACACACACACACACACACACACAAACAAGCCCACACACAAGCCCACACATGCCTTAGCCACCACCCCTGCAGCTCCCAGAAAACAACTGGGGGAGCTCAACCTATCTGGGACCCATACCTTCTCTGCCATCCTTGCTAATCTTGGGCATGAGGAGGAGATATGAATAGGCATCACCTGGAACCAAGGGTGATGGGCATAGTCTCTGGCCAGGAGCAATTCCACATAGCTCTCCCCACCTCCCACTCCTACAGCCCAGTGTCTTATAGGGGACTGATTCAACTCCTGTAATGCAAGAATGTGAGTCCCCAAACTTGACCAGTCTCAGTCCTAAAAGAACAGAGGGAGGGGAGAAGGGGCCCAAGCAGGGACAACAGATTATGTAAGATAGGGCCCCAGGAACTTCACACATCTGTGTTCTAATCTACCCATCTCCACACTGCCTCTGTTCCAGATCCTGAGGGAGATGGACAAATGCCTTCTGAGCCAGGTTCCTCTTCTAATCCTGAAGGCCAGGCACAGGGAATAGCAGGGAGAGAGCAGCTGCCCAGGGCCATCTATTCATATCAGTGTCCTTGCCTAAGCACACAGCAAAATGGTGGTGCTATCTTGGCCATTTCTGAGCCTGGGCAGGCTGGAGCTGGAAACAAGGCAATAGTATGTAGCAAGGAAGAAGCAGACAGACTTTGAAATCAGACAGACATGCCCCTTCCGAGCTCTGCAACCTTGGATGAGCTACCTGATCTCCCTGAGTTTCCATTTCCTCAGTTATAAACTGGCAGAGGTAAGAGCCCTACCCTCCTGAGATTGTGGAGGGGATGCAATGGTGCATGCAGAGTGCCTAGCACACAGTAGGCACTCAATGTGTTTGACTCCTGCTTAGAAACAGTCTAGTTTGCCAAGAGGCAGGAGGCCAGATTAACAGCAAGTACCTATGAGGCCAGTCTTGCAGTTTTTTCAGCGGGTGAGGGGAAATAGGAAGAGGAATTATGGCTCCATCCTCAAGGATTTTACTGTCTGCTGTAGGTCAGAAAAGTAAAAATGGTCCATGCTTTGGCAATAGATGGGACAAGGATATCTGTAGGTTATGTGGAAGGAGGGTGGTTCAAACGGCAAGAGCTGGAGGCAGGGAGAGGAAGGAGACAGTTCATCTGACAGGATGGTCTAAGATGGTTCCTCAGAAGGAGCAGAATGAAAGTGGGTCCTGGGTAAGGAATTAGAAGTTAACACAGAGCAAGAGTGGACAAGAGTGGCTGGGACACAAACCCCAGGCCAGTGATTGACCCCACAACTGGTAGAGAGAAGCAGAAGAGGAGGCCGATAAGCTCAGCTGGAACCAGGGTGAAAGGCCTTGAGGGTCACAACAAACAGTGTGGGGTTCATCCCACTGGAGACAGACTTTCTAGTAAGGACAATGAAGGGTTGAAAGCAGTGCTTCAAGAGAACAAAGCTCACAGTGGAAAAGCATGGCTCCACTTCCTGGAGGCCCATACCACAGTGGGGAGCACAAGGTATGAGTGCCTAGTGGTTGCACAGTGCCCTCACTCAAGGGAGGGAAATGATATCCCAGGAGGTGAGTCTAGACCAAGTAGATGAAGAAAGACAGCCCTCCCTCGATGTTAAAGGAGGCTTCAACAAGCTGGGACATGCCATTTTGCTGTACAGGTCGGCAAAAACCACAATGAGAAGGTCTTTCCCTTAGTATCTAGCTTTACTGCACTCCAGAGGGCCAGAAAGGAGGTGGGGATGGGATGAAGGCCCATACAAACATTTGAGAGGAAACATCTTCACCCCATTAACCACAAAAGGCTGAGAAGTTTCACCAGACCCCCTACGACTCCCAAGGCATTTTTCATTTTCCAATCCTCACACTGGTTCCATCCAGACAGCAGGATTAGACAACTTCTAACTTCTTAGCACCAGAAGAACCTTTAAGACCCACAGAGTCCAGGCTCCTCATGGGAGGGAGGGAGTGATCAGATGAACATTCCTATTGAAGAGAAGTTCTCAAAGGCAACCAGAGGAGGCTAACCTCACCCAGGATGTTGACCCCTAGGGGGTCTAAGAAGACCTGAAACATTGGCTGAATCCTTGTACAGCTGCACCTCAACAAGACCCTACATGGAGGTGACAGCAGGTACACAGAGGACATGCAAATGGGGGGTACAGGCCAGCTCACCTTCCTAACCACTTGGACCTGGCCTCCTCACCAGGGAGTCTTATGTGTTCTGAGCACATCTGTGGCCACTCAGGCTCTGGAGCTCCAGAAGTGAAACACAGGGCTTCCAGCTACTTGGGGTTATCCCTTGAATCCAGACACACTGAGGTAGCAGATGTCTATATAGTGGATGGGGGAAGGGGAAGAAAAAGGACTATTGCCCCTAACACCCCTCAGACTCCTCAACCTCAGAGAAGACTTCATAAATATTCATTAGTTAATTTGCCTGGCAGCTGCAGAGGGGAAACTCACCTTCTCCTAAAGTGAAGAAGGGAGAAGACCCTGAGGAGACCTGCCTTCCCTGACCCTGATCCCCCATAATGGTGCCTTTTCAGCATCTTCTGTACCACCAGGAAAACTGCTTCTTGGCCTTTGAGAAGCCCAGGAAAGTGGCAAGGGGACCTTGCCAAGGTGGGCATGTAGCCAGTGAGAGTGAAACCTGAAGTCAGCTTACAACACTAGCCATACTGTATAGGAAGGACCCTGCCCATCTTTCCTCATACATATCAGGTTAGGAATAGGGGCAAGAGAGTTGGAGGAAGAGATTGTCCCCAAGTTAAACTCTTTATCCCCCACTTTTCAAAAACTACTACTCCCCCATTATCAAGCCAAGCTTTCTTGCCTGGGGCCACCCCTAGACAAAGCCCTTTTCTGGAAAATAAGGGGATTGACAAGGCCCAGCAGGAAGCCTGAAGCAGGTCGCCATGGTAACCCCTGAGGCCTTCCCTCTTTAGCTTCTGATAGCCCCAGGACCCCAGTGAGCCACCCCAGGGAGTAAAGGGACTTGAAGGAGGCCATTCCAGCTCCTGTCTTATAGCCTACTTCTTCCTTCTACCCTAGCCCATTTGTCTCTCAGCCTTTCTACTGAGCTGAGAAGGGCCACCATGACTGCTAATCAGAATCCTGCCATTCGAGAAGCCTGAAGAGTCTGGGGCAGTAGCCTGGTCAGAGGCCAACTGTCCTCCTGTTTCTTTTGTCCAGCTGAGCCCCTCTCCACCCAAACACATACAGTCTACAGTGGGGCTAGCTTGCAGATGTGGGTGTCATGCCCAGAAAGGTGCCCATGTTCCACCACATCTACATTTTCTTCTCTCTCACCCTTCCCACAGGCTCTAGGAACCTGTGGTCAGAGATTGGGAGAGCGTGGTCCCTGGCCATGCTAGTGCAAGTCTGGTTAAGACTCTAGACACAGCTTTGATTTGGTGACCCCAGCACCACTATGCCTGCACCCACAGAGTGGCAGGACGAGCAGAGGACAGACCCCAAGCCAGAGCTCAAGTCTGCTCTCATCCCAGCAAGGGTGGGGAGCCCCCAAATTAAAGGCTCCTCTTTCATTCCCCCAGCTCCACCCAGCCCCCAAGGCAGCAGGAGCAGGCCTGGCATGTCCCAGCAGTGCCCGCCCAGGCGTGGGTGGGCAGGAACAGCAGCTGGGTCCTGGCACACACGCAGCACTGTCGGAGGTAGGGAGGCCAGGAGAGTCCCAGAGGGTCACCCTCCCCACCTACACGGGACTACGCTCTCCCCTCTGCCCCACCAGGTTAACACTAGGGCCCATTGGGGGCTTAACACGCCCTTCCCTGTCTGCTTTCTAGGGGATCCCTGAGAGGAAGTGAGATTCCCGGCCCAGAGAGGAACCAAAGGTGAGATTCAGCACTCAGGAGGGAGAGTGCCAGGCAGTGAGTTGGCTGCCTCTAGTTCAGGTCACCCAAGCAAGGCTGCTGGTAGACCTAGCAAAATCAAATGAGGAAGCCAGAGCACTGCTCATCTGATGCAGGCAGGGCCTGAGTCATGAGGACAGATGCATGCACATCTGTGAACTAAGAGGGGCAGGGAGATGGCACCTCTTTCCAAACCCCACCTTGAATTCCTATCTCTCCTAGATTCCAAGGTATAGCAGGATGGCATGGAAAGAATGGCATACAGCAAGCTCTACCCACTATAAGCAGACTGAGTTCAGACAATTCATTTCCCTGTTCCAGGCATATGCCTTCTCATCTGGAAATGGGGACAATTCCTACTTCCCAGGGCGGTTGGGAACAACCAATAATATTTACATATGAGGATGCTTTGTAAGTAGCAAGGTGCTGCCTGTTAGTTAGCATTGCCAAGCACAGTACCATTTACGGCTTATGTTCCTGGCTGCTAGCACCCCCACCCCAAATGACCACTATGAAAACACACCCAGGAGGAGTGGGTTATGGTACACAAGGCAAGGAACCCAGAATGTGGCTGGTAAGCATCTCACCACAGCTCCCCTGATAATCATGGAGTGTACCCTCCCCCAAACCTGGTGTTCTCATGGCAATAAGCTGCCTCCTGGCTGGCCCACCTCCTCCACAGTCCAAACCCCAGAAAAGAGTACTATCCACGGCCTGGCCGTCCCCATTCACCTGAGCTGATGAGGCAACAAAGAACCTGAGGGGATACAGGGAACCCTCAATTTAGCCTGCACCCCAGCCTCACAGGCCCTTCTTGCCCTGGCCTGGCTGCCTGGGGTGGGGGTGGGGAGGAAGGGGAACAGGAAACTTTAGGAGCTGCTGGGTTCCCATCACTCTCAGGCCCCCACCTGTGGCCAATCAGCCACAGAGTAGGAGAGGTCAGCCACCCTGGAAAGGGGCCCCCTGAGCTGGCCTCCCCAGGACTGTGAGCTGGAACAGCTGTGAGGGGGCTGGGACCAACACTTTGGCTTGTGGCAGGCAAGCCTGGGTTAGGGTCTGCAGCTGCCCCCACCCATGTTGGATGGAGTCAAGGGTCCTGGACACCAAGCTGAACCCCCCACCCCCACCCCCTTATAGGGAAGGTGTAATGTGATCTCAGGCACATTCCCACTCCCTGGAGGTGGGGGAACCTGAGTGGGGGGCAGGAAGGGGTCAGAATGGGACTGAGAGACTGAACTGCAGCAGCTGGACTTGGCTGAGGACTCAAGTGTGAGGCCTACCGGCTGCCCCAAGCTCTCAGGGGAAGAAGTTGGGGGAGGGGGCTGCTCTGGGACCTTCCATCACAGCCCCCAACCCACCCAAGCACATGCATTCATTCTGGTTTCTCCCAACCTCTAGTGGGACTAAACCTGCTTCCCCAACCTCTGTTCATCAGGGTAATCTGACAGGAGGGGCCGAAGAGGCAGAAGCTAATGCTACCCATTCAAAGACCCCAGCACGATTTGGGAAAGAAGCTGGAAGTCTTAAGCCGGCCCTTCCAGCTCCCCTCTTCCAGTCAGGACTGGGGCTGCACACACCCTGGAACCTGGAAACATACCCCCAGCCCCATCACTTCTTTATTTTGATTTTTTTCCCAAGAAGGAAGCAATTAAGCAAGGTTTATAGGCACTGGGAGATTTGAGGGGTGGGGTGGGGGTGCCAGCTCCTGACAAGGCTGAGTAAAGAGACCAAAAGCAGGGAGGAAGAGGGGAGGGAAGAGAGAAAATGAGCCTGTGAGGGAGAGCACGGGCATGTGCGAGAAACAAAAGGACTTGAGAAAAAGAGGCAGAGAGAGTGACTAAGAGTGAGAGGGAGTGTGAGAAAGAGGGAGAGCAGGCGAACCTAGCTGGAGAGGGGAGGTGAGCACAGCTCACAGAGGGTGTGAGAGGGCAAACCAGACACAGACCTGACAGGGAGAACTCTCGCAGGAGGCAAAGAGGGAGAGACAGAGAAAGACTGTTTAGTTGAAAGGCTGTGGCAGCCTGAGGGTTGGGCGCGGTGGCAGAGGCAGCCCCCAGAGCTTGAGTGGAGCTGAGGGCAGTGCCTCCCTCCTGTCCTCCTGCCCATCCCCCATGTGCCAACACACACAGACCCTTGGGCATAGATGGAACTGGGAGTGTGTGTGTGTGTGCAGGGGCGCCAAGATCAGTCCCCCACCATTCTCAGGATCTGTTCAATTATGGGATAGAATTTGTGAAGGTCCTACTGAGTCCTCAGCCACCCCCCCCCCCACCTTACCACCCCCTCAAGGATGTCTGCCCTCAGCTTGAAGTGGATGGTGGCGTGGGCAGAACTCAAAAACCTATAAACTGGTCCAGAGAACTAAAGGCTCAGAACACAAAAACGGAGAAGCTCAGAGAGATCTTGTTTCTCCCAGCTCCCCCCCCCCCCAACTCTGCAGGAGGGCTCCTTTCCAGCTGTGGAGCTGCATGCTATCTCTGGTTAGAGACCCGAGAGAGCAATTAGGTCACTCCCATGAGCCCCTATAATGGGCTACCCCAGGCGGATTTCAGCTATCCTGGTTCAAGAGAGAGCATTTCCAGCCTCCACCCTTACATGAGGGAACTGGGCTCTTCAGAACCTTTCCCCTGTTTAGCTCAGGGGTCCCCAGACTATCTTGAATCCCTGCTGTTAGGAGAGCTCTGCACCCAGGTTGGCTTCTAGGTGGGGGAGAAATTCTTGTCAATCCCTTTCCTTGTACCTTGTTCTCTTTCCCAAACCCTCACACTGACCTTGTTTTAACCATCCCACAAACCAGTAAATAGGACTCTACCTTAACCCAAGGAAAATAGAACTAGAGAAGCTGATTTCTTCCACTCCAGGGCTAAGAGACGCACTGTCCCTGGAACCTAAGAGGCCAAGGGAGGCAGGAGCCCGGGGAAGTTAGCGGGGAGCCCATGAGAGTGGACAGGGATTCCGGATACAAACATCAGAGAGCATAGAGGGCAGGCCAAAGCCCCCCATTTTCCCACTAAGTAGGGGTGTCTGCACATTGCCGGGACCTCCACAAAACAGGAAGAGCAATCTTGACCCTGGATTTCAACCCCAGTCCTGAATGCCAGAAGAGTAAAAGGTCCAGAGGTCATCACACAGCCCCAGCGACTCTTCACTAACAGCCCAGAAACCACTGAGCCACCGCCCTAAAAGGTGTGTGTGTTGTTTGGGGTAGGGGGAATTGTGAAGGGGGAAGGAGGAGGAAGAAAAGAAAGGATCTTCTCTACATAGCTACCTCCCTAACCCCTTGGGAAAAGCTGCCATATTTCCACCCGAGGAGGAGGGGGGGGGGGCAACGGGACCCGCTTGAGCAGGAATCCTTCGACCCCCACCCACCTCCCTCGCCAGCTCGGACGCCACTCTCTGCCTGGGCCGGCTCTCGAAGCTCTGCCACCGGCTCCATTAGACCCCCGACAGGCGCTGGATCGAAACCACCCCCTCCCAGATACCTCTCCCACTCCGCCCCTCTCCACCCGCCGCCTTTGTGAGCCTGGGAGCGACGCCCGCCCTTCCATGGCCCGGCAGGGAGAAAAGAGGGGCTAGAAGAGACGGCAAAGCGAAAAGCTAGAGAGGCAAACAGAGAAGAAAGAGAAATGAAAATGGGAGAAGCCCGAATGGGGATACAGGCGCTGCCACCCACCCCAAGCGCGGTGTCCCGCGCTGTGGTCCTTTCACAGCTAAACAAACGAGGAACCTGTGTTCTGGCCTCGCCCCCACCCAGGTCACGCTAGCCCCTCGAGCGGCTCTCGGCGAAAACCGCCACGTTCCCAAGGGCCCCACAGGGGAATGCGTTCTCTCCCCCACCCAGCTCTCGGGTGCGCCCTCGAGCGCCGGGACTCCCAGCTCCGCCAGGCGCTACCATCCCGACTTGATCCGGGACGTGCGGAGGAGAAGGCGGGGAAGCCAAGGGGTCACAACCCAGCCGAGTGCCCCCACCCCACCCCGCCGCACCCTGCTCCGCCCGCCCGCAGGAAAACACACACGAAAACGACAGAGACAAAATGGGGTACAGCTCTTCCTCGGAACACCTCCCCACACGCACTCGGGGGCGCGTGGCCTCACCCTGCAGGAGTGCCTCCCACCCCCAGGGATCAGAGCCAATAAGTTACTCACTTGGGGTTGAGGGAGCTCCAGGACACGGGCTCCAGGTTCTTGGCCAACGGCGTGGCAAGCCGGCACAGTGCCAACACGACCATCGCCACAAGCCACTTGCCGAGCCAACGCTGCCCAGGCCGGGCCATCTTCCCGGGTGCAGGCTGCACTTGGGATCCCCTGGCGCCTCCTCAGCAAACTGGCCTCGCCTTCCCGTGCTGCGCTGCGCTCTGAACCGCTCAGGCGCCCATCCTCCGCAGTCGCCGGCCTTGAAGTGCTCCCCTCCCGCCGGCTTCGATGTCGCTCTTCTCCGCCCGGCGGGCCAGGAGGACTCACTGGGCAGCTGTCCCCAACCTGGGCATGGGCCGCGGCCTCCGATGGCTCGTTCCCTTGGTCTCTCCGACGCACGAGGAGCGACGGGGGCTCTGCGCCCCCGGGTGATCCGGCCCGATTCCGCTTGGCTCCCGGAGACTGTTCGAGACTGCGCGCCCTCTCCCTGACTGGGTCTCCCCACTGAAGACTCGGTGGCCGCCCCGACGCCTCGACCGTCTCGGGATCGACGCCCCTCGGAAGAAATGGGAGTCTCCCCACAACACGAGCTCAATCCGGGGGCTCCCGGCTGGGTCGCCCTGGCACGGTCTCTGTTCCTCCAGGCCACACTGGGACTCTGGGCTTCGCGCCCCCCGACAGCTTCTACTTCAGTGGGGCCCCCGTTCAGTGTACTTAGAAGAGCGGGAAGACGCAGTTGAGCGAGCCAGTTCCATCAGTTTTCTATTCTGAAGCCTCCGCCGGGTAGCCCCGCAGCCCCTTCGCCGACTCCTAGCTCCCCAGCGATTGCGCCCGAAGGTCTGCGGCCAGTGCGAGCTTCACACAACTACCACTGCTGTCCAGCGCGCATAGACTCCCTTCGGCTGCCGCTGAGCTGTCTACTCCCCTGCTCAGGCGAACGCAAGGCCAACCCTACTCCTCTTAGCCAATAGTAAGCTCCGTCTCGGGGGTCCTCGTCCCGTACCACGCCCCCAGAACAGGAAGGGGGCGGGGCTTCTGGGAGCTCTTAAGGACGCCGTGCTCGCGATGGCACCAATCTCGGAGTGTGGCTCCTGCGGTTAGGGGTGGGTCCGGTATAGTCCCGTTCCCAGAGCGCGCAGCCCGTGGGAAGTTGGAGCTCCTCAAGGGCTGTTGGCCTGCCCTCCTCCCGCGCGCCTAGTCAACACTCTGGCCCACTGACCTGGGCCACACAGGCCCTGTCACAAGTATCCCGTGAAAGTACTTCCATTCTCTTTACGCAGGAGCCCTGAAGTCGTGCTCTGTGCCCCTCTCTGTGGCAAAAACAGTCTGTTAGCTCTTGGTCCCATCTCACGTAGAGTTCTGGTGGTCTTTTCTCCTGCCCTAGCAATGCAGTGTCTGCTTGCACTTGGACCTGGAGTCCTAAACATACGGATAGCGTTAGGTAATGGAGACTGAGAGAGGTCAATTACAAGTACGGGATGGAGGTGGGTGGGAGGTGAGTTCTTTGCCCCTGGGGACTGGGCCTTCGGAATCTCAGCTTTAGGGGAGAGCCTTGTGGGACCCAGGAACCCGAATTTGGCGTCGTGTCCTGTCCGAAGTCGCAGGCAAGGCCCCGGAATAGGCCAGCTGGGATGAGAGAGTGAGACAGTACCTCGATAAAGAAAGACACCTGGAAGGCAAAGAGTCAAAGGCACAGGGTGGACGCTTTTTGAAAAAGCAAAAGCGGGCGTCCTGGCCCCAAAACACCAGACTCCAGCCCCTCCCGGCCTCGCCATCTGGGTCTTTGTCTCCCAGCCCTCGCCCATTCTTCCCGCCCCTCCTCGCTTCCTTGCTTATAACTTTGGCTCCATCCCATAGCTCAGACCCTCCCAGTCCGACCCACTCTCGTGGTCGGACCCCAACAGGCGTACCCACGTGCTAATGTCTCCCCCTACTGGTCTTCTGTAGCACTGTGGGGACCTGGGACAAACTGGAAGCTCCAACCTGGGAACTTGTCACACACAAACCTAGCACATGATTTGAACACAAGACTTGGGACAGGCTTAGTGGCCTTGGCAAGAACTGCGGCCCAGTATGTGGAGGAAGGGAAACCATTAGGAGGAAGATCTAGGTTTGGGTTGGCTTTGGGATTGCCAAGGATATACTGTCTTTGCTGATACTTTATAGAGATAATTAGGTGAGCAACATTCCCCAAATTCTCTACAATTTACACAGTTTTGTGTCATATCACTGAAGTAGGGGTTTCTCACTGGATCCTATGATGCTCCCTTTGGCTGTAGGGTGAAACTGTATTTGGAGGGAAATAAGGGAGAAGCTACGCCACTTCTACTTTTAGGGACAGGGCCTGGAAGGTGAGAGGGATCTGGGTGGACAGGGTGGAGGAGGAACTATGTCAGGTCTCTCAACTGACAGCTGGACCCCTTATTGGGGTGTGAACAAGGAGAAATGAGAACAAGGTACAAGGGCACACCAATAGTCTGGCTTAGAGACTTGGATCCCTTGAAATGTGCATGCACCTGAGTATGGAAAGAAGCGTGTTGCTTCCTGAGTGCCTACTCTGTGCCAAGAATCATGTTAGATGGCTTTTCTCTCATAGTCTGATAAGTTTCACTCCCCCCATTTCAGATAAGAAGGAAGATAAGGCTCAGGGAAGAGAAGTAGCTCCACTGAGCTCATTGATGGCAGAAGCAGGATTTCCCCCAGGCTTATTTGTCTCCAAAGCCTATATTGACTTGACAAATTTTCAGCTGCTCCTTGCCTACTTGCTTACTTAATACATTCCTGGTTAAAAGCTGGTTCATACTTGGAAGGCAGCAGCCTTCAGGATGGCCAGGAGTCTACTCTTCATTCCCATGTTGCTAGGCCTGGGAAAGTTCATCTGTGTTCCTGGCCACATCTCCAAGTTCCCACCTAAAATTGCCACCACCAACCCCAGAACCAGCCTCAGATTCTGCTGCTAACATGCCCAATGCCCCTTGGGAGGCAAACCCAAGACCAGGAGGGGAATAGGGGAGATGAAGCTATGGTCCCAGACTTGGGAAACCTGGGAAGACAGAAGCAACTTCTGAGTGTGCCAACACCTAATTATGGCTGGAGAGGGCAGCAGAGGAAAGAGGAGAAGACTCTTTATGTCTAGGCCTGCTCTACATGCTGATCACACCTGGTCACAGCACAACCTTTCTGCCTCAACCCGTCCCCTCCAGTTATAGGGTCCTCAGTAGCCGGGCTGGACCTACTCTCTGCCACAGCCAGGGCCAGTGACTTCAAGCCCTCACATCCTGCCCCACCGTAGCAGGGCCTCAGATGTAATGATTCAGGCCCCTAAAGTCAGGAAAAATTACTCCCCAAGGGAGCCTGAGAAGAAGTTGGAATGTGTGGAGCATGTGGACCCTCTCTTATCCAAGCCCTCCCTACTCCAGTGGCAGTCGCACCCCTCCCCACGCCTCCCAGATCAGTGTCACCAAACATTCACACACACACACACACACACACACACACACACACACACCCTTGGGATTCAAGTCCACCAGTGCTTCCTGAGCACTGACGTTGTGCTAGCTACCCTGGTGACCCAAAGAAGAGCCCCACCAGCCCTGTCTTCAAGGAGCTCCAAGCACACCAAAATCAGCACGTGGGGACCTCCCAGATCCAGGGATGATGAAGAACTTCTGAAAACTTCAGGAAACCTCAGACATCATGCAGTCCCCAGAAAGTTTCCATCAGTTCCTTCTGAGCCCAGCTTCCCACACCCACCGGAGGCACGAGGTATAAACATCAGAGCCCCAGATTTCACTGCTTATCAGCTGTGTTTCCTTGGGCAAGTCAGTGAACTCATTTATAATTTGGAGATCATCCCTCCTTCACAGAAATGTGGGGAGGGGTGAATAAGATAATGTTTACATCAAGGGCTTAGCATCATGCCTGGCCCACCATGGTTCACTATATGGAAACTCATTCTTCCACAGAGATACCCTCATTCCTAGTCACACAAGTTCTCCCTTTTGTCTGTTCACACATTTCATGTACACATGCACAGTTTGTAGCCCCTCTTGTATATTCACACACAGGTACATACATATTCATACAAGAATACTTGGTGTTTCTCACCTATCAATTCATGCAGTACCAGGTGACAGGATTGATTCCTGCTCCTGTGGAACCTAGATTCTCGCCCCCACATTTTCTCATGTCACTGTTGCATACACATGCATGAACACACACACACACACACACACACACAAACACACCCTCAATTTCTGTGGCCCTTGCCCTTGACCTCTCCTTGCCTGCTTGTACTCTGAGATGAGAAGTGAACTAACTCACCTAAGGCCACACCGCCAAGAAGTAGGAAAGTCAGGATTCTAACCTAGGCCATTTAGCTACACAACTTGTGTTGTAACTGATGACTCTCATGAATCTACACTGATATCCCAAGGCTCTGGAAAGGAGTGTGTGCCAAGGGGTGGGCCTTGCACACCAAAGGGTTAGAGAACAGGCCTAGGGCAATGTGAGCTGGGACAACCCAGTAAGCCTAGCAGCCCTCTCTTATATCTACAGTCATCCCCAGCTTGCCCTAGGTCTCCTGTCTGTCCCCTCAAAGATCCATAGCTTCTGCACATACCCTCCTCACAGACACACACAGCTATTCCCTACAGGGAGAGAGAGAGAGCTCCGTATCTTGAACACCCACTGTATGCCAGGCACTGTGGCTGGTTACTTTCACCTTTGGTGCTATATTATACATCCCTGAAGTAGATATTTATGGGCCTATTCTAGAGATGAGAAAAACTGAGGTTCCAGGTTCCAACTGTCTACATCCTCTACCCCTGCCAACCTCAGCTTGCAAGGCCCTCTCTTGCCTGGCTGGCTCATTCCCACCATTCATTTCTCTCCTGTTCTTCCCTCTGCCATCATGGCTGCCCTAGCTGAGATTTGCTGGGGTCTGTGTTGGACCCAGCTGTCCTCCTTCTCCCACAAATACCTTGCTTTTCCCAAATCACTCTATCTCTGGGTTAGTCTCAGGGCAAACCCAGGGTGGGGCCTGAGCCCTCCCACTCTTCCTCCTCCCCTCCCCTGGATGCACCACACCCCAGGACTAGGTCAGATCAAGCCCCAGGTAGGTAAACCTTGCAAGTCTAGT